ACCACATACACTAATACAAGGTTACTTCATAAAAGTTCACAGAAAAATGTAACTAAAAGATAAATTTTGGTGCCAAAAACTCTGAAATTCATATAGTTTTAATATGAATTTCTATGAACTTTTTAAAGACCTCTCATATAGCAATTCTGATCAAATACAGTTTATTTCCAATACAGTCTACAAAGAAACTTAAAAATCTCTCCAAAGCATGACTACAAATACATATTATACCTGTAAATGAATTCTTTTATAGTAAATGTGGGAGCCACCTGCAATTGGTAGAAAGACAAGCAATGTTTTATCTCCTATTAAAAAAATTAGCTTTGATGAATTATAAAAGTCATACGAAATACAACCAAATTATATGAAGATATTTGTTTTTACTCTTTTTGCATGTGAATATACATTTTTAAATAGAAGAGAATATATCACACTGTAATTCTGGATATTCACAGTGTCTTCAAGATTTCACTATTACATTACAATGTAATGTAAATATATATGCTGCACAGCTTTTTATGAATTACTTTAAAAATAATGTGAAAGTTTAAAATTTTTCACACTAGCAAATCCTTGTAAGAAAAAATACTGTTTAATTTTTCTCCATGTTTCTGAGGTGGGATATGCATGGATATTTTTATGGTTTTAATGGTAAAAATGAACTCTTACATATTTATTCTTTATTTAATTTTTATTCTTTATTTAATTCCTTTGCTTTTAGGTTATTTGCTTATTTTCTAATTATCTTAGAAAATTTTTCACAATGATTTTGAACTTGACATGTTAAAAATATTTAACTTATATCACCTGTAATCAGTACTTTTTCCCCATTTATTTGTCTTTTATATGTCTGACAATTACCTTGGATTTAAAATTCTAAAGGAAATTTTCAACAATGATCCAATGTTCTCAACAATCTTTCATGGATAATCTTGACTATTCTCTGCTAGACTAGAAACATTTTTTAAGTCACATTAAATCTTTTATATACAAAGGTCTGTTTTTGAGATGTCTGAGTCCACTGATCTGTAGGCATATTCGTTATTATATATATATATACACATCTTTATAACAAGTTGTGATAATTAATAGAAATAACCCTTTCTCATTATTTTCCTCTCCAAAATAATTTTAGCTATTGTCACTTTTTAAAATTCAGACAATTGTTTTGCATCATTTGTTAAAGTTTCTTCCCAAGATGTGAATTGTAAGGGGAAATTAAACTTATAATTTCAATTATTAGTATTATTTTACAGATTACTTTACAATTAACTTCAGTCTTTTCGAGTTTACTCATTGGAATAATCAGATGCCATTTATGAACTGGACACATCATGCCATTATTTACCTAAACACTGGGAATATATAAATAAAAATAAATATATATACAAGAAATAAGAGCACAAACATCTTGAGATCTAATTACTTCCCATAATTTTATTAGGCTAAACAAATAATGAATGCTTTTAATGTTTTTCAATAAAATAAATATGTCAAATCTCAAAGTAATATACCCATAGTCAGATGTTATATGCGAAGCTTAAGAAATTTTCAACCTTTTTTCTTATGGCAATATAGCATCACATTCATATAACTTCTATAAATATTCTATGAATTTTATTTATGGTGGGGTAATTGTTTCTCTGAACTTCTTTAAGAAAAAAGTGCTTTATTCATTAATATAAAAATCTGTGCACTCTCTACTTTAGAATTACTCATACAAACTTTTTAAAATACTCTGTTATATAGGAGATTAGTTCTAAAATATCTGAAGTTTACATTTTTCTACAAAATTAAGTTTTAATACTTTTATGTATATTTCAATATTAATGTTTAGAATGTGAAATTCTCAAAGTGGCTTATTTCTTTCAATAAACTATTGTAGTATATGTGTTAAATCAAGAACTAATTTATAATTGATTTTTACTTCTTGTGTAATTACTCATGGAAGAACTGACCAACAATTTAAAAGAAAACCAATTTTAATGTAGTGAGACTTTTATCCTAAATTTTAGATACAAAAGACTTTTTGCAACCACAATAGGGCGATCAATTAAACAAAGAGTTTTTAAGATTCAGTGCTTACTTTCTGTTGTTGATGTTGTTATAATTATTTGATAGAGATGAAGGAGAGATCTTTGGTAAAGTTGAAAAATTGGATGCACCTGGGGACCTTTAAAAATATGAAAATGTTAAATTAGATAAAAAATGAAGATTTAAAATTAATTATGAAATAAAGAAAAGAACTAACAGATGACAATGTTGTAGTAAATGAATGCTGGAAAACAGATTTATGAGCAAAATCACTTAAATATCCTCTGTTTTTCAATTTCCAGTGTATTTTTCCTTATAAAATATAATGATACACAAGGGGTCTATTTTCAAACAAAATTGATCAAATTGAATTTACAACTTACATTATTTCTCTAAGTCTACTAACTCAATATACCAATTTCTTAGTTTAGGTAATCATAACTAACATTTTACAATCAATTTAAATAAAGCAATGGAACTAAAATATTTCACTTTGTTTCTCAGTAGTTACCATTGTCATTTTAATAGTACACAAGACTAATAGTTCAGAGAATGTTACCAATTTTTAAAAGTAAGACAATGAGGATAGAACAGCATAAGAGAATTCCAAACATAATACCAAGAAACAGTATTTGGCTAACATTACCCCTGGAAAAACTGGAAGAAAAATATCAATCCAGATAGATATAAAATATCTCACTAATTCAGAATCTTTTGGAGAACTCTCAATCACTACTGGCTTTTAATCATCCAACACTTTAAAGGTATAATTTATAGTTAACACTTCTATTATATAGAAATGATTGAGGTACTTGAAGTTTCCTGAAAGACTTTCCTTTGTAATTTTTAAAGCAATTTTAGCTTATCATGCAAGTTCTATCTATGGGCTGTAAAAAGCCAGGTTTTAGTAGTCAGCCATGGTAAATTCTGTATTAGTGAGGCCCAAAGTGACTAGTTTTTAAAAAGTTATATTCTCTACTCAGGTGCTAATGAACAATGAAATGGCCAATGGGCAAGAAAGTGTAATCTACAAAAATTTGCTTTTAGATAATTTGGATTTAGCTTTATTTATATCGATATACATGCAGAATGGTAGGTAATATTTTTAAATGTAAAAAAAATTAACTTAGAATTTTGGACATTAGGAAATCTTAGTAAAATTTGGAATAAGTTTTTTAAAATTTATTTTGCTGATAAAGGTTGTATACAGATGAATTATTTAAGCAGAACTTCTACTAACACGATTTTATTTTACTATATTAAGCTCAAAACACAAAATACAACCTATCAAGTTTTAATATAAAATAATGGAGGGGTCACAATTTTTAAGATTTATTTTTTATGTATTTGAAAGAGAGAGAGCTATCTTCCATCCGCTGGTCACTTCCCAAACAGCTGTAACGGTTGGGGCTGGGGGCTGGTGAAACCAATAGCCAGGAGCTTCATTCAGGAATCCCAGAAGGGTACAGAGGCCTAAGCCTGGGCCATCTTCTACTGCTTTCCCAGGTGCAATAGCAGGGAACTGTATTGGAAGTGGAGCAGCTGGGACTCCAACCAGCACCCAAATGGGATGCTAGTGTCACAAGCAAGAGACTACCTGCTACACCAAATGCTGGCCCAAGGGGTTACATTTTATAAGTAATTCTAGCAGTTTTGGCTTCATATAACTATTTCTAAATAGGGGAAAAATCTAAATTAATGAAAGACTGGGTTCTAATGAATTAAGGAGGTTAATTCTTCAAAATGTGATTCATTACAACTTTTCAGGAACACATAAAATGAAACGTTCCTTTTTACTTACAGTAAAAATTATGGAAATAAAGATTCATTACTTCATTTAATAAGCTGGCCCAGACATCTAGTATATTTGAGTATATATACAAACGTGTGTAAATTTAAGACTTATACATACATATGATATTATACTTGTATGTTTATATGTAATTTTTTCTGCCCATTTTTTCAACTATTCATTAGCAACTTTACCTAAGGATCACATTAGAAGGAACAGATAATATATATATATATATATATATACACATATATATAATTGAATTTTTGGAAACTTTAGCTGTGCTGTCAACTTTGAGAAAAGTATCCCAGTTTACTGTGTTGAGTTGGCATTGTACAGAAATTAACAGCCATATTGGTCTAGAAACGTTAAACTTAATTTTTTTTTCCATTTGTACAGGGGTAACGCACTGTATTAAATATGTAAGGTCTTATCTACGTGGGTTTGATTACAGAACTAATAAAGTATTCTCTAAATAATGAAAAAAAAAAAGAAGGAACAGATAATGAAAATATCAGAGTTAATTTGTATTTTCACAGTAGTTTCTATGCAAATCATTCACTCAAAAGTTTTAAAAATAATTTCTACACATTTTGATCTTGATAAGCAGTAGGAATACAAAGACATTTCAGGATCTCAAATTGCTCACAAATCTAATAGAGAAAAATGACATACAAGCAAAAACAACTATAAAGTAATATAAACGTTAACAAATTTTAATATAAAATTTTTTGAGTAGTGACATGAGGTGATTTAAAAATGAGCAGTTAGAAACCTAAAGTGACAGTATTCCCAGTGGAAAGAATGGAATACACAAACATATGAGGCTAAAAACTATGATGTATTTAGGGAATTACCAATAAATCTGGCTTAACTGAAAGAGTATGAAGTATGTAGATAGGAACAGAAATTCAAAAGGTTGGCAGGATAACAAAGGAACTTACATATTCTGTGAAGGAATTTGGATTTTATACAATTGTGTTATCAACAGAATCAGATTTGTATTGTAGAAAGATAATTTTTGAGGAAAAGGGACTGACTGAGGACTGGAATATTGCTGACAAACTGGGAAGTCTGTATAAAGCACATGTTACATATTGAATTACCATGACTCTCATGAGAAAAAACTTGTGTTAATTATTTGAACTACAAGTAGAACGTTCTAAATCACCTCTTTCTTCCACCAAAGATGGGGGCATTCCTTAGCACTCTCAGCTGTCCCTATCAACACCAGCTTCATCAAAGGCAGCAGTCATTTTTTATACAATACCACTTACCTATTTGAAAAGCAGAGAGACAGAGACACAGAGTAGCTCCTATCTGCTCACTCCCCAAATGCCCATACTGGCTGAGGCTGGGATGCGGCCAAAGCCAGGAGCCTCAGGAATTAAATTCAGGTCTCTCATGTGGCAGCAAAGACCTAACAACTTGAGCCATCACCTGCTATCTCTCAGATTTGTATTAGCAGTTAGGTGGAATCAGGAGTGCAGGCAGGACTCAAACCCACTCAACCCTGATCCTAAATGGGATACATACAAGTACCTAAATTGGGGTGTAAACTCCTAGTCCAAACACACCCTTGACACAATTCTTTTCAAGCCTATACCTAAAAAAAAAAAAAAAAATGTGCTTATTTAAACTTCGCTACGTAGCAGATATTTTCCCAAAAATGTATGGTGATTTTCACTTCAAGGAAAAACAACTGAAAATATTTGTTGTCAATGATAAAATTCAAGCTTTCCAGCAAACCTCAGAATTTTCGAAAATTTGATTCTGCCACTGTTAATGTGGTATCCATTATCGAAAATACTCCTCTTTTCTACTACTTATTTGTGAAAAGTTAAATTTTCTTCATGTTCATCACCCTAACGATATATCACAATAAATTAAATGCAGAAGCACACATGAGAATTTAGCAGTTTTTTATTTAGCCTGATATTAAAGAAATTTGCAAAAATGCAAACCAATGCTACTCTTAGTGATTACTTTTGATTTGGAAAATAATTTTCATGAAAATGTCACATGTCAAAATATTAATGATTTAGTGTTATTTATAAATATGTTAAATTTTTTTTTAGTTTTATTTTTTAACTTTTATTTAATGAATATAAATTTCCAAAGTACAGCTTATGGAGTACAATGGCTTTCCCCTCTTAACTTCCCTGACACCCACAACTATTTCATCTTTCATTGCTTCTTATCCTTCTGGCTAAGATCAACTGTAGTATTTTAACTGCAAATATGGTAAACATTAACATAACACACATAAATTCTTTGGGTCTTTAATTTTTTTTTATTTGACAGATAGAGTTATAGACAATGAGAGAGACAGAGAGAAAGGTCTTCCTTCGTTGGTTCACTCCCCAAATGGCCGCCATGGCCAAAACTACGCCAATCTGAAGCGAAGAGCCAGGTACCTCCTCTTGGCCTCCCACGGGGGTGCAGGGGCCCAAGCATTTGGGCCATCCTCCACTGCCCTCCCAGGTCACAGCAGAGAGCTGTGAACTTGTTCTTGATGTGAATGGAATGGGAGAGGGAGCAGGAGATGGGAGGGAAATTATGGGGGGGGGGAGCCATTGTAACCCATAAACTGTACTTTGGAAATTTATATTTACTAAATAGAAGTTAAAAAATAAAAAAATCAGCCAAACGAGGAGCTGGTTTTTTGAAAAAATAAACAAAATTGACACCCTGTTGGCCCAACTAACTAAAAAAAGAAAAGACTCAAATCAATAAAACAGAGATGAAAAAGGAAACGTAACAACAGACACTACAGAAATAAAAAGAATCATCAGAAATTACAATAAGGACTTGTATGCCAGCAAACAGGGAAATCTATCAGAAATGGATAGATTCTTGGGACACATACAACCTACCTAAATTGAACCAGGAAGACATCGAAAACCTAAACAGACCCATAACTGAGACAGAAATTGAAACAGTAATAAAGGCCCTCCCAACAAAGAAAAGCCCAGGACCAGATGGATTCACTGCTGAATTCTACCAGACATTTAAAGAAGAACTAACTCCAATTCCTCTCAAACTATTCGGAACAATCGAAGAAGAGGGAATCCTCCCAAACTCTTTCTACTCCTAAGCTGGAGAAAGATGCAGCATTGAAAGAAAATTACAGACCAATATCCCTGATGAACATAGATGCAGAAATCCTCAATAAAATACTGGCCAATAGAATGCAACAACACATCAGAAAGATCATCCACCCAGACCAAGTGGGATTTATCCCTGGTATGCAGGGATGGTTCAATGTTCGCAAATCAATCAATGTGATATACCACATTAACAGACTGCAGAAGAAAAACCATATGATTATCTCAATAGATGCAGAGAAAGCATTCAATAAAATTCAACACCCTTTCATGATGAAAACCCTAAGCAAACTGGGTATAGAAGGAACATTCCTCAATACAATCAAAGCAATCTATGAAAAACCCACAGCCAACATCCTATTGAATGGGGAAAAGTTGGAAGCATTTCCACTGAGATCTGGTACCAGACAGGGATGTCCACTCTCATCACTGCTATTCAATATAGTTCTGGAAGTTTTAGCCAGAGTGATTAGGCAAGAAAAAAAATTAAAGGGATACAAATTGAGAAGGAAGAACTCAAACTATCCCTCTTTGCAGATGACATGATTCTCTACTTAGGGGATCCAAAGAACTCTTAATAAGAGACTACTGGAACTCACAGAAGAGTCTGGCAAAGAAGCAGGATATATTTCAACGCACAAAAATCAACAGCCTTTTTATACACAGGCAATGCCATGGCTAAGAAAGAACTGCTAAGATCAATCCCATTCACAAGAGCCACAAAAACAATCAAATACGTTGGAATGAACTTAACAAGGACGTTAAGGATCTCTACGATGAAAATTACAAAACCTTAAAGAAAGAAATAGAAGAGGATACCAAAAAATGGAAAAAATCTTCCATGCTCATGGATTGGAAGAATCAATATCATCAAAATGTCCATTCTCCCAAAAGCAATTTATACATTCAATGCAATACCAATCAAGATACCAAAGACCTTCTTGTCAGATCTGGAAAAAATGATGCTGAAATTCATATGGAGACATAGGAGACCTCGAATAGCGAAAGCAATCTTGTACAACAAAAACAAAGCCGGAGGCATCACAATACCAGATTTCAGGAGATACTACAGGGCAGTTGTTATCAAAACAGCATGGTACTGGTACAGAAACAGATGGATAGACCAATGGAACAGAATAGAAACACCAGAAATCAACCCAAACATCTACAGCCAACTTATATTTGATCAAGGATCCAAAACCAATCCCTGGAGTAAGGACAGTCTATTCAATAAATGGTGCTGGGAAAACTGGATTTCCACATGCAGAAGCATGAAGCAAGACCCCTACCTTTCACCTTACACAAAAATCCACTCAACATGGATTAAAGACCTAAATCTACTATCCGACACCATTAAATTATTAGAGAACATTGGAGAAACCCTGTGAGATATAGGTACCGGCAAAGACTTCTTGGAAAAGACCCCGGAAGCACAGGCAGTCAAAGCCAAAATTAACATTTGGGATTGCATCAAATTGAGAAGTTTCTGTACTGCAAAAGAAACAGTCAGGAAAGTGAAGAGGCAACCGACAGAATGGGAAAAAAATATTTGCAAACTATACAACAGATAAAGGGTTAATAACCAGAATCTACAAAGAGATCGAGAAACTCCACAAGATCAAAACAAACAACCCACTTAAGAGATGGGCCAAGGACCTCAACAGACATTTTTCAAAAGAGGAAATGCAAAGGGCCAACAGACACATGAAAAAATGTTCAGGATCACTAGCCATCAGGGAAATGCAAATCAAAACCACAATGAGGTTCCACCTCACCCCAGTTAAAATGGCTCACATTCTGAAATCTACCAACAACAGATGCTGGTGAGGATGTGGGGAAAAAGGGACACTAACCCACTGTTGTTGGGAATGCAAACTGGTTAAGCCACTATGGAAGTCAGTCTGGAGATTCCTCAGAAATCTGAATATAGCCTACCATTCAACCCAGCCATCCCACTCCTTGGAATTTACCCAAAGGAAATTAAATTGGCAAACAAAAAAGCTGTCTGCACCTTAATGTTTCTTGCAGCTCAATTCACAATAGCTAAGACCTGGAATCAACCCAAATGCCCATCAACAGTAGACTGGATAAAGAAATTATGGGACATGTACTCTATAGAATACTATACAGCAGTCAAAAACAATGAAATCCAGTCATTTGCAACAAGATGGAGGAATCTGGAAAACATCATGCTGAGTGAAATAAGCCATTCCCAAAGGGACAAATATCATATGTTCTCCCTGATCGGCGACAACTAACTGAGCATCAAATAGGAAACCTGGTGAAATCAAATGGACACTATGAGAAACAATGACTTGATCAGCCCTTGTCCTGACTGTTGATGTACAATTTAATACTTATCCCTTTTAGTATTATTGTTTATTCTACTTAATACCATTGGTTGAGCTATGTAATTAACACACAATTATTCTTAGGTGTTTAAAGTTAACTGAAAAGTGATCCCTGTTAAATATAAAAGAGGGAATAAGAGAGGGAGGGGATGTACAATTTGGGATATGCTCAAGCTGACTTGCCCCAAGTGGTAGAGTTAGAAATGTGCCAGGGGATTCCAATACAATCCCATCAAGATGGCATGTACCAATGCCACCTCACTAGTCCAAGTAATTAATTTCAGGTCACAACAGACCATAAAGATAGGTCTAAAAGTCAAAGGGATCACATAAACAAGACTAGTGTCTGTGAATACTAACTGATAGAATACAAAAGGAAGAGAACAATCCAACATGAGAAGCAGGATACACAGCAGACTCATAGAATGGCAGATGTCCTGAACAGCACTCTGGCCTCAGAATCAGCCTTTAAGGCATTTGGATCTGGCTGAAGAGCCAATGAGAGTATGTTAGGTATGGAAAGCCAAAACACTGGAAAAAAAAAATAGAGGACCTAAATGAAAGATCTCTGTGAGTGAGATCGAGGTGGAAAGAACGGGCCATCATAGAAGGAGGTACCTTTCTCTGAAAGGAGGAGAGAATTTCCACTTTGACTATGGCCTTGTCGAAATAAGATCAAAGTCGGTGAGCGAAGGGGGCTTCCATAGCCTTGGCAACTCGTGACTAGAGCCTGGGAAGATTGTTGATGCCTTAAACAAGAGTGTCAATTTGTTAAGTCAACAACAGGAGTCACT